TAATCACTTCTGCAAAGTCCAGTTCCCAAGAATTAGGATGTGGGCATCAGGGGACTGGTATTCTGCCTCTGTGGTGAGCTGTTAAACTATAAGCCTTCCCCTAATGATGTTGAGTTGTTCTTCCTGTCAGAGATCTGTGAGACTATATATCTTCTTTGCCTTCTGTTGCACCTGATGCCCAAAAGGTTCAGACAGTTGGTGCTAAATACAGTTATCTGGTGTGTACATGGAAGAGGGGCGGTGCCACAGGCCCAACTGTGTCTAAAACTTCCACTCCTTTAGAATGGCAAGGCAGCGCTGAGGGAGAGTGATCTGGAACAAACTGGCTGGACTGTGGGGCTATCGGGCAGAATGACCACCATCACTTTTTACTTCTTCAAAGCAAAGGAATGTGTCTGGGGTTAGCATGTCGGGGCAGCAGTATCCCTCTTGACAGGTAATTGTGTTGAAAATATGGCACAGCAGGCTGGATTTGTTTAATTACAGTGTAAACTGGATGGATGTGACTATTGCATGTGTGGGTGGGATGTCTTCACTAATCTCTAGGTTAGTAGTTCTCAACCTGCGGGTCAGCACAACCTCTTTGGAGGTTGAATGACCTTTTCACGGGGGTCACCTAAGACCATCAGAAAACACAGATATTTACATTATGATTCATAATGGTAGCAAAGTTACAGTTACGAAGTAGCAACAAAAATTAATTTTGTGGTTGGGAGTCAGCACAGCATAAGGAACACTTCAATAGTGTCTCATCATTGGGAAGGTTGAGAATTGCTGCTCTAGGTCTTCTAGTTCTGTTTCTGTCTGCAGACGGCCCAGTCCAATAGCATTTTTGCAAAAGGATAAAATCAAACAACAGTTAACCATGTAACAAAATGACTTGGTCAGGGGCAATGGCCCTCACTGACATTTACAGGCATTTCCTGTAGGGCTCACCTTCCACTGTGGAAGAACCATGGGAGAAAAGGCAGTGATGTCTCCATGATTCTGTGACTATAAACAGGTGAAATGCCTGCAGTGCACATTTGCTGGGAGGAGGTGGGTAAATAGTCCATGAGCACCTTTAAGAGGGACCCACAGCATGCTGGGATAAGGAGAGCATTTCAGGGGACCTTAACCTCGGTACAGAAGCAATGGGTTCTAACTGACAGGCAGATGAATCACTCTCTGGTTGGCTATAAGTTGGGAGGCCATAGCAGGCAGCTGCAGAATCCACTCTGTTCCGGGTTAATGATGAATTCCTGGAAGGAACCCTCAAGGTGTTAAGTCCTCCAGCAGCAATTATTGCTCACTCTGCAAGCCTCCCTGAGTGCTTATTGATGAGCAGTCTTTCCCAATCAGAGAAATCTCCCAGGCTTCCTCACCCTACTAGAGATCATTACAAGTGAGGGCAGGTGGATCTTCTGTCATGTGCTGCCTCTCAAACCAGAGGCAGCTCAACCCCTGGAGTGAGTCCTTCCCACCTGATGCTTGTCTTTTCTCTGGGGTTGCTTGGGAGAGAGCTTGACTGAAGCCTGGAGGCACAAAGGGTGCAGTGCATGCTCACCTTGTGCTTGAACCAGCTGGGACAGATCAGCTGCAGCTGGCCATGTGTTAGCTGTTTCCTCCAACCCAAGATGGGGCAGAGCAGTCACTATTTAAGCAATTATGCCCCTGGCAAGGAAAGAAAAGGAAGAGCGTCCCTTTGTAAAAGCCATTGTTCCTCTCAGCGTGACACTATTCCTGCCAGGGAAGCCACCTTTCAAACAACTGTTCTAATTTATCTTTGGAACAAACAGGTTACCTGAGATGTTGTGCTTACATTTTGGTGGTTCTAAATATTTATATTTTGTCAAAATGAAGTAAGATATTGAAAAGTTTCAAGATAGCTATGGACAAAGATAAACAAACAAACAAAAAACGAAACAAGAAACCAGCCATCCTTTCCAGACACCCTCCTCATGAAGCTGTTCTTGTGGATAGCTGGGGCACTTTGCATATATCTCATTAAACCGTTCCCCTCCCCGAGGAAGAAGCCAGTAGGGGGTGCTCCTCTTGCTTAAAAGAAGCTTGGAGAGCCCAGCTGTGCTACATCTGGGCTGTGACACCTGCAACCTCACAGGTAGCTCAGGATACAGCCGGAAAACTTCCCTACATTGCAGACCACACTTGGCCTTCTCATAGCCAGAGGCAGGTCCCCAGCTAGCTACCAGAGCCCTCTTCAGCATCCACCAAGCTCTATTGCAGGCTACATTGCTTGGACCTGAGATCCACAGATGAACACAGATGAAAAGGCTGTTCCCCCCTTCACTTGGGGTGTACCATGCAGGAAGCACATGAGCTTTTTTTTTTTTTTTTTTTCCTTTAGTAATCTGGTATGTGACTTAAACTCCTGGCATCTTAAGCTGCCCTCTGGGCATCTGGGCAGCTGTTCCCCAGCCCTGTCTCAGCCCTGTGGATTAACTCACCCCATCCCAATCCCCCTTCCTTGCTGATTCCTACTGGAAAGATGGTGGGACTAAATTCATACATGTCCAGCTCCCATCAAGGCTAGAGCAGCTGTGAGACCTGGTTCTGACCAATGACACAGAAGCAAACATGTACAAGGATTTTCTTTTTTAATGCTGTGTTCTGAAGGTTCAGGTTGCATCCACCTGAGGGTCATGATGGTAGCTGCAGCAGCAATCTTGTGATCTTGAGGAAAAGCCAGAACTGCAGCTTCTCCATGAGCCATTTGTCCAGCGCCATCACCCAGATACATACTTTCATCTAGGCCTTCTGTCCTGAGAGAAACAAACTGCCCCCATTTGTTCCAGCCTCCAAGGTTAGCTCTCTGTGACTTGGACCCAAATGCACCTCTAGCTCTTTAGTAGGCTGTCAATCAACAGGGAGGAAAGTTCTGGGTGTTGAATGTTAACAGGTATGCTGGGACCTGTTCTGATTGGAGGAAACTGCAATAGCTTTAACCTGGAAACTTTAAAGGAAGGTGTTGTAGGGATCTTACAACACCCAGCGATGTCAAGTTCACTGTTGCTAAGCTTTAAAGATGTGGCAGGTAGGCAGTGCTTGGATCAAGCCTGGAAATGTGGACAGGAGGGCCAAGTTACATCCGGGCCTCAGGTCCTGTTGACTAAGAACCAAGAACTGCATTAAGCGTGGCCAAGGCCACCATGGCAGGAGGAACAAGAAAGGAGTGACTGTCTGCCTGCCGTGGCCAGGCCACTGTCAGTTACTATTACTGCAGAGTTGATTGCCCCCAAAGTGTAGCAGCTTCCAACAACACTAGATGAATTTATTATTTATTATCATGGCTTATGGCCCCACAGTGTCTATGGGCCAGGTGTCTAGATACAGTTTGATCACATCTTCTGACTCAAGAGTGTTGGTTCGGGTTTCTATTGCTGTGATGAAACACCATGGGCCAAAGCAGCTTGGGGAGGAAAGGATTTATTTGGCTATACTTCCATATCACCCTTCATCACTGAAGGGAGTCAAGACACGCACTCACACAGGGCAGGAACCTGGAGGCAGGAGCTGCTGCAAAGGCCATGGTGGGAGGGTAGAGGGGTTGCTGCTAGCTTGCTTGCTCCTCATGGCTTTCTCAGACTGTTTTCTTAATCACTAATTAAGAAAATGCCCCACGGGTCTGCCTATAACTTGACCTTATTGACGTATTTTTTTAAAAAAATGAGGCTCTCTCCTCTAGCTTGTGTCAAGTTGACATAAAACTAGCCGGTACACAGTTTGTTTTTGAGGTGTTCATAGGGCTACAGTCTCACCTGAAACTTGACTATGAAAAGATCTGCATCACACATAGATAGCTGTTACTGGCACAGTTTCTTTAGTGGCCATAGATCTCCCTCAGTCCCTGGCGAGTTCAGCCCTTCCATGGGCAGCTCACCACATGCAGCTGACTTCATCAGAGAGCAAACAGAGTAGGAGAAATGAACAAGAGGCCTTTTGTAACCTTGTCTCAGCGGGAAGCAAGTTACTAGCTCCAGCCCACGCTCCAGAGGAAAGGATTGCAAGCAAATACCAGATCACAAAGATCATTGGGACCCTCTAAACACTGCCTGCCACAGATGTGGGCCATTTTCATACTCTCCTCCTGTGGTTGAGGAAGGGAGGAGACTGGGGGGGTCAGAGAGGAGCTGTGAGGCCTACCTTGAGTGACTTCACTACTATCTCCAGGGTAGCATAGGCAGAGTCAAAAGTGCCACCAGCAGCTAGCCCACTGTTAGGATCATCCGCCCCCCCACCCCCGCCCCATTAACCACACATCAGTGCCAGAAGTCACAGAGTAGGGAGGCTAGAGACTGGGCTGGGCTGGGCTGGGCTGGGCCTGTCAGAGTCTTTAGGTCCCAAATAAGGTGCACTGGGTCAGAAATCATGTTATGTTTGCATGTCTTTGTCTACAACCTCCTTGCAAACATTTACATGTACAGGTGTATGTATATGGACGGCAGGGGGTGGGGGAAATGGATGTTCAAATGTGTGGCAAAATGATAATGTTTGGGAAACATGGCTAAAAAATTACATCATAATTTTTTTACACCAAAGTTTTTTTTACAACTATTTTATAAGTCTAACATTATTCCAAAATGCCAAAGTTTTCGAAAGTGCCGCCCTGGAATCTATCACAGATGACATTGTGGGAATCATGAAGATCTCCTTTGGACCCAAGATGATGCAAGAGAGCCTAGAGAGGCAGTCAGGGAGAGCAAATACAGAATCTGAGTTTGGGCTGCCTAGATTCCAGGCCTGGCCCAGCAGCTCCTGAGGGCTCTGAGCCGCACAGCATTCCTTTGAGACTGACACAGGAGTTTGGAGAAAGGTTATGTCACAATAAGGTTTGTAACTGGACCCAGTACAGGGACTATGGTGAGCTCTCCATAAATGTTACTGTTATTGCCTCCTTGTACGTCTTGCAGTGATAGGTAATGGCTGTGAGTGATTTAGATGCTGATCTAGACCATTGTCTCCATGCTAACTTCCTGACATAAGTTTTTGTCACTGTAAAGGCAGGGTGGCCGCTGCAGTGAGTGTGGATGTGTGTGACAGCATGAAGAACCGGATCCCTGTGGTGCTTCTGGCCTGTGGTTCCTTCAACCCCATCACGAATATGCACCTGCGATTGTTTGAGGTGGCCAGAGACCACCTGCACCAAACAGGTTAGTCAGAGACTTAAGTGCTATAGACCTGATGGATTGGGGCTTTGTCTGATGGTGTCATTGTCACCAAGAGTAAGACTGCTTGCTTGATTCATTCTTTACTTAAGTTGTAGGATACATCTCCTCCACCCTGGGCAGAGGCTCACGTCCCTTAGCTGTGTGTCATGCACAAGTCCAGCCCTGGCCATAGAGTTGATATGTCTCAGAGTCCTCCCTCTTTGTCCATGAATATTGTGAAAACACAGGGAAGGGCAGTTTAGGGAGGCTGTGCCCCACCCAGGGCCTCTGGGACGCTTCTCATGTTTACCCACATGCCTTTGAAAGGTCCTGCCACCTGCAGCAAGTAAACCAGTGTTCAATAGCGGGAATTGATATTCTCTTTCTGAAGAACAGGTTTTTGTTTTTTTTTAAATATTATTTATATAATTTTCATTTAAATTTGAAACAAGCTTGTTTTACATATCAATCCCAGTTCCTGCACCCTCCTGTCCTTCCCTGTTCCCCCCACCACCTTCCCATCCCCTTTCTGCTCCCCAAGGAGGGTGAGGCCTTCCATGGGGAGTTGAAGAATAGGTTTTTCCCTATAACAAACTTTTATGTATTCATAAATATATTTTATGTCTGCTTTATGCTTTCATAAATGTGTTTTGTATTACTGTGTTACCCAAAGATTTTGCCTTTAAAGGCACTTTTACACCAGAATCAATTCCTATTTGTTTTTAATATAGAAAAAAGTATTTCAATAACATGTCAGTCATTTCTTCACAGAAGTCATACACAAATGTTGGCTTTTTTTATACAAAATAACTTTGTTTACAAAACATACTTTTATTACCGAACAAATGATCATGTATGTCTATTCATACAAATAAATGGTTTTACAAAGGAATTTTCTGAAACACAAACCATGCAGTTAAAATTGCTCATTGGACATGAGTAGGCAGTATACCAAAGAACTGTAAATGGCCAGTAAACGTGGGGATAGATACTCCAGGTCACTAGGGAACAATGAAAATGCAAGTAAAAACATGGGAAACATGGTCAGGTTGAGGGCAGTAACTGTGGCTACTGTAGTACCGGAGCTGCCACCATCTGTCACTGGGCTGGTAGCTGCTTCTCAGTGAACACCAGTTGTAGGAGTCGGTAGTCTTAGCCTATGAGATTGGCAAAGGTTAAAGGCTAAAGACTGACGGAACCCAGCATTAGCAACACAGGGAAGAAATAGACCCTCGTGTTCTGGTAGTGATCCAGTCAGCCATGAAAACAGCCTTGATAGTATAGACCCAGCATTCATAATCATAAAATGTAGAAAAATCAGTCTTTGAAACCGAACCAGAACCAGCAAAGGCTGACGCAGATGTTAGAATTAACAAAGAGATGATGATAATCGATAGTTATGTGCCATATGTTCTGTGTTTAAATAAAAGCATAGAAAACATTAAAAAAGGACACAAATCAAACTCCTAGAGATGAGGAGAATGTGTGAGGTAAAAACACACCTGTTAATGTTAGTAACACATCAAACATTACAGACAGACAAAGGAGCAGACAGATAAAGCAGAAGAACCAGCCAAAAGGCAATGCAGAGAGGGAGAAAAAGAAAACAGTTTTAAAGCAGGGGTAACCATGATCTGTGTGATAGCTTCAAGCAGCATTATACACCTGTCACTAGAATTTCAAAAGGAAAAATCAAAAAGAAAGTAAGAAAAATGTTTGTAGAAGTCATGGCTGAAATGTGTCCAGATTTGATGGAAATAGCTCACAGGTCCAAGGAGCCCAGCAAAGCAGAGCTTAACAGGCAGGAAGGAAACAGTCCAAGGGATGCAACCATCATATTCCTCAAACCAGAAGGAAGACAAAAATCTTAATAACAGCCATGAAAATAAGGATGATAGCAGATGCCTTGTTATGGAATTCACTGGTAGAATTCAGTAAAATGACTTCCTTAAAGAACGGAAAGAAAGGCCCTCCAGTCAGAGTTCTATAGCCAACTCTATATCCAGCAGAAATACCTTTGGAAAGTAAAACCAGGATACTAACACAGACACAGAAGCAGAGAGGTCTCACCACCAGCCAAGCTGTACTTCAAAAGCCATGTTCCTAATGCCCCTGGGCAGGGGATTGGCAGCTAGGAATGGGAGGTCACCTGAGTGACTACATGAGACATCATGTAGTAAGATGGGTAAGATAGAAGCTTTTTAACATTTAAGTGTCTTTAAAGGGAGGTTGGCAGTTTAAGTGAAAATTCAAAACTGTGGGATCTAGCCTGTAGAAGTAAAATCAGGACAGCATTAATGCACTGGTGGGGAGGGGCAAAATGCAAGCATTCTACCTGTGAAATACTTCAGTGTTACTCAGAGTCAGACTCTGATAGTTAAAGATGAGCACTTAACCCCTGTCTCCAACAGATATTTGTGTGTGTGTGTGTATGTGTGCATGTTCTTGTGTGCACATGTGTGCATCTGTGGAGATAAGAGGACAACCTCACATGGTGTTCCTTAGTCCTCCCCACCACCCCCGCCATGTTGTTTGAGACCTGGCTACCCTGGCTGGCTAATAAGCCCCGGGATTTTACTGTCTTTGCCACTCCAGCACTAGATTATGAGTCCAAGTAAATCCATGTCCAGTTTTTTGTTTATTTGTTTTGTTTTGTTTTGTTTTGCATGGGGTCTGAGGATTAAGCTCAGGTCCTCATGCTTGAAGACAAGCATTTTATAGATTGAGCCCTAAACCCCAAAAGATCAGAGCATTCAACTATGGTTAATTGGTATACAAAGGAAATAATTAGTACCCAAATATACTAGTTAATTCAGAAAATTAAATAGAAGACAGAATAAGGTGGGACAGACAGAAAACAAGTAAGGTGAGGCCTCAAAAGCTAATAATATCAGTAATCACTTTGCCTACAGACTAGTGGCACCTGATAATTTTCAAATTATCACCCAGTAAAATAAGCAAGTCTCAGCTATCTCCAGCCACCCTTCCCCCTCCTCTGCAGGGGTAGGGGGTGTTCCAAAACCATCAGTGGATGCCTAAAGCTAAAACTCACATCAAATTTGGTATACTGCTTTTCTTCTTAAACACCCTTATCTATAGTAAAGTTGAATTTATATGTTAATCAAAGGAAAATATTAACAGCAGTAACTAAAAAAGTGGAATGACTATGCTATAGTACATTGTAATAAAAGTTATTTAAAACATGTGAGCTATTTCTGGAAATTTCCTTTTAATATTTTCAGAGAGTAGTTGACCATGGATAACTGAAATGGTGGAAAGTAAAACTGCAAATAAGAAAGGTATATAAAAACCACACTTTACATGTAAAAATATGGATATGTTAAGGGGAAAGGAATTGAAAATTATCCCACATGAACACTATTTAAAGAAAAGCTAGAGATGGTATAATATCAGAGAACAGAAATTTCAGAGAAAAGAATATTACCAGGGATAAGATCGTTTTTTCCCTAATTACAAGCGTAACCCCAGTTCCAAAATACAGAGACCCACAGCCAGACAATATGCAGAGAGAGAGAGAGAGAGAGATCTTGCAATGCTTAGCCCTAAATAGTTGTCTTTACCAAATCCCTTTCCTTGGGTCTCGGGGACCCCTGCAGAAGAGGAGGTGGGAAACAGTATAAGAGCCAGAGGGGATGGAGGACACCAAGGACAACAAAGCCCTTTAAATCTACAGAATAATGTGAGCACACATGAACTTGCGGAGACTGAGGCAGCATGCTCAGGGTCTCCACTGATGAGTACCAGAAAGGGCTAGAGCTGAAAGTAGACACACGTCCCCATCCCTAACCCAGAAGCCACTTGCAAATGAAAATTTAGTTTTCTGCAAGGAAGTCTCACTCTTAAGGGTATGCTGCATGCCCAGCTATAGTCGGCCAACAGAAAATAAACTCAACAGTAGCTTTGGAGGATCTTTGTCTCTTAATGTTGTATCAGGCTTCTTATTCTCATTTTTTAATTGTGTGTGTGTGTGTGTGTGTGTGTGTTTGTGTGTGTGTGTGTGTGTGTGTGTGTGTGTGTGTGTGTGTGTGTGTATGACAGTTTGAACGAAAATGGACCCTTGGGCTCATAGGGACTGGCACTATTGGGAGGTGTGGCCTCGTTGGAGTAGGTGTGACATTGTTGGAAGAAGTGTGTTCACTGAGAGCAGGCTTTGAGGTCTCTGAAGCTCAAGCAGGCCTACTATGTCTCATTCTCTTCCTTCTGATCCAGACGTAGAACTCAAAAGTTCCTTCTCCAGCACTGTATCTATCTGTATACAGCCATGCTTTCCACCATGACAATAATGAACTAAACCTCTGAAACTGTAAGCCAGCCCCAACTAAATATTTTCATTTATAAGAGTTACTAGAATCATGGTGTCTCTTCACAGCAATAGAAACCCTAAGACTACACACACACACACACATACATACATACATACACACACACACACACACACACACACTCATTTTTTTACCCTACAGGTCCTTTGCATACATATTATTGTATTTTTTTTGTATAGCAGTAACAATAGATTCTAAATAGAAATTTAAAGTTATACCATTTGCAATTGTATAAAAAACACTTGGGAGTTCCAAAGTATAAAAAAAAAACTATATAATAAATAAGACATTGATGAAAGAAATTAAAGACCTCCTCATTAAAATGAAGAAAACTTTGTCTATATGTTGGAAGACTGGAAATGTTAAGAATTTACTTTTTGTTGGCTTTATTAGTAATTTTATTATTATATATTCACTGCACATGGTACTGGGTTTCATAAAGTCGTTTAAATACAAAGTATATAATTTGCTCCACATGTCTCCCATACCCCTCCACCATGTTCTTTCTCAGGAAAATTTCCAGATTTTTCCGTAGATTCATCCTAATTGCAATAGGTTTTTGGTAACAATAAGCTGATTGTAATATTTGTTTGGCATTGGATTGCTGGAAGAGTAACATAGTGTAAGGAGCACAGTCCTGGAGTGACTTTAGAGCTAACT